ACGGACTACCATGAGATTGTACCCAATAATTGAGCAGACGGTGGATTTATTGCAAAACAAGCCAGACCCCGATTTTTTTTATTTATTTTTTTTCGAACTCGTTGCGCTATGCTCATAGGCGGGGCTTCGGCGCCTGCTAGTCTAAGAAGCTTAGAGTAGGAGAGGATAAAATTCTTAAATTAGAAATGCTGAGTAGCTTAGGGGTAGTGGGGAGGTCAGGGGGGAAGCAATCTGTCTCACTTCTTACGTTTTGTTGTATGTTGCTCTCTAGCCCAGCTGTTCGTATTTTTTTTTCCTCTTGTGCTCCTGCTATGCGCATTCTCTAAGCCGTTTCTCCCCCTCCCCTTAGTATGAATCCTTTTCCAATTCGCTTTAGTTTTCTCGCATAGCGACCTCGTTGTTAAAGTAAATTGCTTTTCTTTTTTCTTTTCTTTTCTTTTTTTTTTAAATTGATGCCATTATTTGTGCTCCTCCAGTCAAAACACGCTCTACTCAAATGGAGACTGGAGACCAAAACTTATTTACTTTCCCTTCAAAATACATGGAATATTTTTTATCTAGTGTTTTGAGAAAACTGGAATGTTTACAGTTGGATAAAAACCTAAGCATTATCCTTTAATGTTCTGTTATAGCCAAATAGGATGAAATAAATATAGTATTGACGTAGCTGTGTTAAAAGGTGACCTTCGCGATTTTCTTAAACGCTGCAGTTTTATGTATATTTTTTAAAGCTCTGTCTCTGTATAGACAAAATACGAGAGTTATGTAAATTAATGAATTCATGATAAAGTATACTTTTAATTTTACAGGTGAATCTATTTGCAAAAATAATTTTAAGAACTTTGTATTTGGGGATGTAGCAAGTTATTTAGTTTACGTTTAGCGTTTGAATGTACCAGTTTTCTTTTTATTGTTTTAATAAGTTTATCGAAAGGTCATTGCTATGAAGACCATAATTTTGAATTTTAAACTATCGATTTATATTCTGTTACAGATAATTGATACAGATCTGTTACAATTGGAGGAAATAAGTATCATACTTTCTGAAGCTAAAAGGTGACCTTCACGATTACCTAAAAATGTTTCCCTATATAACTTAAAAGCTCATGCTTCATATGAACAAAATAAAAATTTTATGTTTTTTAGAAAGTTGCCTTCTTTTGTTTTCTATTTTTTACATTTGAGTTTACTGGTATAGCACTAAAAGTTGTTGTACTTATATAAATATAGTGAGTTAAATTATTTAGTTTACCTTCTGCACTCATAATTTTATTATAAATTTATCAAAATTTGACTTATAGTGAGTTCATAAGTTTACTAAAAGGGATTGCTATGGTAAACTGAAAATAGATATTGTTTTTTTTAATGTGTCTTTATTTTTATATAGCATTTAATAATAATTGAGGTAAATCACTTTATAAAAGTTAACAATCATCAAATCAGCTTTAAAAATTATAAAAGTTACTTCTCTTTTAAGCCAATAAACATCATTTTGTACTGGTCAACTCGAAATTTAATGTTAAATGTATTTGTACATTACTTAAAATCACTTTCATGTTTCATAATATCATCATATTTATTAGTTTATTTTGAATAAAACTTGATTAATTATAACTATGATTTAACAATTAAATAAAATATTAAATTGGTCTTATAAAAAAAAATTGCAGCTATTATTCAAATAAAATTTAGAAAGATCAACATGAATATTAAATAATAATGCGTAAAAATTTTTTTTTTCTGCATCAAGCTCTTGTTATTCGTGATTTGTCAGCCACTAATTTAAAATATAAGAGTTCAGTTATCATATATTCATACGGGATTTCTTTTCAGTAAATCATTCAGTTTTTTGAAGAAAATTCTTCCATTCCTTAAAATCACATTTTGTATCTTAAAATTAAATAATTCTATGATAAACATAAACCTCAAAATTGGAAAAAAAATTAACTGAGGTATGTCACAGAAATGCAACGTTGAATTATTCCATTACACCCTAACCTATAATCATGCCATTCCAACTGAATGAATTAACCGTAGCTCTACGATCCATTAAATGCAGACGCGCTGGTGGTCCCACGGACTAGTGATTATTTCATAGTAGTCCAAGGGGGGATTTACTGGTCTCGGACCAATGGGCCACCAATGATTTCGAACTCTTATCAAATGATTTTGCACTTTTTGCTAAATAAATCCAGTTCAGTTTTATTTTTAAAAAATTTATAAAGGTTAATTTTTTCCGCTACACATTTCTCATTTGTGTTTTTGCAATACTTATGCTTTTATTTTTAGCATTAACGACCATTTTATTTCCTGCAGGCTACCCCTTAATTAATTTTTACACATCTACTTTTTTAACGGAACAAATTGCAGATGGAAATGATTGCTTAAAAACTGACTTTTTTCTTCCTCATGATTTGTCAATGTACTCTTCTAATCTTTAATAAAAACGCAACGATCTGGGAGGCTTTTTAGATTGAAAATTCCCCTCTAAGCAGGTGTTCCCATAGTATCTTTCTCATCCTAAGCAAGATACTTGCGCAAGATTTTGCAACGTGCACAAGTTAGGAGAAATAAAGGTCACTGAGACAGTTAGTAGCTTAGAAATGCCAGCCGTTGCCATTATGCAAGTGCTTCAATTGCGGAAACTAGTTTTTTTTTCATTAAAAAGGAGAAAAAAATGAGAGCCCTGCAACTTTCGTGCCCGATAATGTGCTCTTTTTTTGATAGAAAGAACACTTTCAGATACTTAACTTGATGAAAATAAGAAGTTCTTTTGAAATTACTCTTTTTCATTGTTTTTACTGTAAGGAACGTTGCGAAAATGATTTAATTTAATCTCTGTCCATAAAATATATTCGTTTTATTCTATGCTATGAAACGGAGGTTGTTTTATCATTTCTATAAGGCTGTAACTGTTAAACCTCAATATCTACTTTCTATATATTATGTGATGACAATTATTTTGTTGTCAAGTTGCTAATTTTGCGACAGCGTTTACAATTTAATGAAATTTTTTTTTCTATTTTATGATTAAGTTTTAGTATAGTTTCTTCACGAGGAATTTTCCTTGATTATGTAGCAAAAGATTATTAGAAGAAATCTTCTGGCTCTAACAGGTTGCTGTTAAAGTTTTCATAGAATTGCAAATTTTTTTAATAAAAAAAAAAAGAAACACAAATATATTTTTTTGGTTCATTTATTAAGTGTACAAATTATTTGTTGTTTGAAATTTAATAAGACAGATGCAAGATAAAATTTGCAAAGATATGAAGCAAAAGCTTTTGCCAAATAAAATATATTGAGATTCCTTGTATATGGTTATGATACTTAATTTTTACACATTTTTTGACATTTTTTTTATACTTAACTGAACCAACCATATTTTTTTTTCAGTTTATCTTTAAATTTTTAAGAAATTGGAGCTTTATATTTCGATGTTAGTGCATATAGTATCGAATTTAAAAATACAGTAAGATCTCGATTATCTGAAATAATTGGGATATGGAAGTAAAACTTAGTTATTCATTCCTTTTTCATCGTATAACTCAAAAAAATCAAGATTTTTATCCATTACTGTGCTACGTAGCATTTAATTTTAATATCTTCAAATAGTTATAACTAATTTAAAATGCATCTAATAATAATAATATTAAGAAAGAGGGCCATAAAATTTTGAAGTAGTAAAAATTCTCAGTGAGGAAATAAGGACATCGGCCTCATTGTCCTTTTTACGTAAACCATGGTATAATTAATTGTTAGTGAAACCTCGTTAAAAATGCTTTGACCAAACCTCTTAAACCTTGTAAAAGTAGTTTGTATTATTTATAAAGGAAGTAGAGGGTCAATAACGCTTCAAGTCGTGATTTAACATTTTCTTCTTTCTAAGTATTAAATCAGAAGGAATATAATCGGTTATGTTAATATATCTTCGATGTTGGCAATAGATCTCTAATCCGCAGGAAATTCAATGAACGGTGTCATTTTCTGGAATTAACATTTAATATTTTTTTTTTTTTTTTAATATTGAGCTTTATTTATTTAAATAGAGCTAGACAAGTTTTCTAACTAATTTTCATTTTAAATTACAAGATAAGTTAGCTAAGTTTTTTTTCTTCTTTTTTAATACGTTTGACAGAATATGCAATACGTAGAAATGCTATTAAGTTTAATTTAAAAAAAAAAAAAAAAAATTAACATATGATTATGGCTGAAAACTTAATAGTTTCCTTTATTTTTGTTAATTTGAATTCTAATAGATTTTTTTTTTATTGTGCTCTATAGTTATAGAGTATATACGTGAAAATAACCATAAATTAAATAAAAAATAATAATAAAAAACCGGTCACTTTTTCCAATCTTTTTTCTTCTTTTTTTAATTTTTATTGCGTTTTGAATTTTCTGATTGTAAAATGTTTAACTAATTTTTGTCACATGTTTTTATTGTTAAATTAACTTTTTGTAGCCGTAGATTATTTCTAAGATGATTTTTTTTAAAAAAATATAATCTAAGTAACAACAAAAAAAAAAAAGTAGAAATTGGCTGTTAAATGAATAGGTCACCGATTTATTAGGTTTGAGGAAAAAGTGGCTACTTAGTTATTGGAGTCTTCCGGGCACTGGCTACTCACTAATAAATTTATATTTTCAGGTCTACCCTAGTTTATGATGTCGATAATAAATAAAGTATTTTGAAAAATTACGAGATGGAAAAGGAAAGAGTGTTTATTGTTTCACACAAAATGGCTTATGTCAGCGTCTGGTTATTACTGATCATTGAATTGAACTGTTTTACAAGCATATTTGTTTGAAACGCTAATAGCAGACGAAATGTTTTTGTTTTTTTTTAATTTTATTTTATATATTTTTTAAAATTTTATATTTGTTTTATTTTTTGAACTGTAATAATCTAGTTCTTATTTATTTACATATGGGAAAAAAAAGGAAAATTTGTTCGTTTTATTTAAGGCAACAATGAATTAATAATGTTTCTATTTTTTTAGGTTCCATTCAAAGAAATTCTATACGTCCATTAGAAAAAATATATCCAGGAGTCATTTTATTGTGACATGAAACAAAAGCATTGGATTTAAAATCTATTTTATGATGACTAGTCAACAGTAATATTCCAATAGTCAATCCGAATTTTGTGGTGGTAAGTTTTGTTTCAAAACTATTTGTGGAATTTTTTTATTTTATTTTTTACTTACTGTGTGGAAAAATACTAAAATGCGTACTAGCTTAGTTATGTCAAATTCATAAACACATGTGTTGTCATTAAATATAATACTGATCAGTGACGTACAGATGTGTAGAATCCTGGGGAAAAACCTCTCAATTCGATAATACTCACGAAATGAATTTTTTCTAAAACAGAATTAAAAAAAAAAAAATTATTTATAAAAATCTAAACCCATACTTCATGTAAGCGAAAATTAACAATAAAAAATTATTTTCAACGAAATATTCTTAGTTGATGAATGAAAATGAAATTTGTTATAACAGATTTTATTCTTCATGAAATATTTTCCTTCAGCCAAATATTCATCTATTTAAAAGTTTTTTTTCATGATCAAAATAACAGTAACATGAAGTTTTAGTATTCTTAGTTGTCGAGTAAATGTCCATTTTTTGTTCAATGCCCGTGACCGTTGACCCCTTGGCCCTCCTCTCTGCACGCCACGGATATTGATTCATAAAATACATGTTATATATTTATATTTAGTGTTCCGTAATCGCCATCTTTAACCCTGAGATAAAGATTTTTTTTAAAAATATCTTTACTTTTGTAACGAGAAAATACTTGACTCCTAAATTTAACCAATATATGTAACTTGTTTTGACTTACAAAACTTATTAAGCTTATTCAAAATATACTTTTGGTGGTATTAATCTAAGTAACTGGAATATATTAGCCTGTGGCAGTTTAAGGCTGATTGGAGCGGTTACCAACGGACAGAAACTTGATGAAAAAATTATCTGCTGTAATAATCTGTAGCACCCGCTGCTGTTAGAGAGTTGCTGCTACTGGGTTATTAAGGTTTATCTGATGATATGCAACAAAAATTTAAACTAAATTCATAAAAAAAGAAGAAACAAAAACTTAACGTTATTCAAAAATGTTTTTACTTCATTAAAGTTAGAATATTTTTTTTTTAAAACTGAACTGAAGAACTGAAAAATAATTGTTGTTTGTCATTGTTTCACAATGAAATTGTGCATCGTTATAAAAAAAGAAAACATGCTATAAACACTTATATTTATAACTATAAGCAAGATGACGGGAATGATTCTTACCCTTGAAATAACCTTCAAATAACCCCACAGGAAGTTAACTTTTCCGCTCATGGAGAAAAACTAGAATTTTTCGATTCATTTCGCCATTGGCGTTTTTTACTGAATTTCTGGTTATGATAATATTGCATCTTACCTCTTAGTAGCAATTCGTAATTAGATTTCTGTAACAATCTTTTACTTAAAAATAATTTCTTGAGTTTATTGTTATGTTCTGTTCCTAGCGCTTGTGTACTATTTATATCGTTTTGTTAAATTGGTCTATAATTGCTAATAATAATTGGACGTTTTAATACCAATTTCAGATTTTAACATGTTTTTTTTTTTATAAAAGTGAATAATTAATGACGTTGTAGCTCTCTCAAATTTTGAAAAACATTCCGAGAACAATTTCTTTTAATTGTTAGAATTTAATTTAGTATTTATTTTTTTTTTTTTTTAAAAAAAGCAAGAATTTTAGAATTTGTGAAATAGAGCGTGGTAACGATCAATATATATATTACGAAATTGGAACTAAAAACCAAACCGTATTTTCCAAGGAGTTATAGCTTTAAAATTATGAATTTAAGCGTTATTTACTGCGTTTTACACAAGAAAAATTTTGCTAAGTCCGTTTACGCGTTAAATGTGAGGGATCCGTAATCGGGTCCAAAATCATCTTAAAATGATTTCATGATAAAACAAAAATGTTTAATCTTAATCCAACTGACACTAAATTGCAATTCAGAGTTAGATTCATCTATCGTTGATTAATTTATTTTTTAACTGATTTTGGTAAGATATTTGCGTTAACGGATTGACCTCGTACTAACTTTTGACAGTCACCGTACGGCTGCCTTTTTTTTTCCCCTACCATATCGTTGAGTAACCATGTTTTCTTTCTTTCATTTTTATCGTGCAATTTGTGTAGAGATTGAAAATAATGCTATTTGTGACACTGACGGATTCTAGTTGCCATTTTTCCTTTAACAATTGGATGTCAAGATTTTTTTTTTTAACTATTTAATGTCATAGTGTCAAGAATTTCTTTTTACGATCTGTCATGCAAATATTTTTTTTTCTTCACAGTTTAGAGACATCACTACTTTCTGAAATTACTTTAAGAGTGATGAAATATGACAAAATAGGAGTCAGGGAGAACAATGGTTGGTTCATTGTCATTTCAAGGTCAAACTCAAACTATTTTATATTTTGGTTGCCATCTTCTATTCCTCTGTTATTTGAGATTTATACAACTCAGTTATGATTGATGTTGGTTAGAAAATGCTTTTGTGGTATTATTGTTTAGGCTTAAAACACGCCCCTCTCTGTAGAGACTAAAATTTTCTAGAAGTTCGGCCTAGCTGGAAAGAAATGCTTCGTCAAGCCAGTCCCTTAATTATATTTTTTAATTCTTTTCGGTATTGAATTCAATGTAAATCTCTTTTCCTCAAGGTTAAGCTAGGAATTTGTTCTCTCTTCAAAACAAATTTTTTTAACGGTGGGGTTAAGGATATTATTTACTCTAAAACATGCCTTTACAGAGACTAAAATTTTTTGGTAATAAAGAAATTTTCAAACTGTCGTCTAGCCAGTTTTAATTTTGTTTTCAGTATTATTGCTGCTGAATATCCGTCCCTCAAGGTCAAAAAATAGTTCCTCTCTATACTTAAAGAAATATTGAATATTAGGCTTTAAACCCGCTTCTGTAGAGGCTAAAATTTTCAAGTAGTTCGGCCCAGTTGTCAGGAAATTTTTTAACTGTCGCCAAGCCAGTCTTTAATTATATTTAATTCTTTTCGGTATTGAATTCATTTGTAAATCTCCTTCCCTCAAGGTTAAACGTAGAACTATTTTTTTATTCTCTCTTCAAAACTAATCTTTTTTTTACGGTGGGGTAGGTAATAGGGTGAAGCTCATATTTTCAGGACACCTACTGTTCTTGCTTTAAAAAAATGAAAGAAACGCAAGGAGGGGGAAAAAATGAAAATAAAAAGAGAAGAAAAAAGTAAGATCGTGATCCTCCTACCAGCTGACTCACTTAAATAAAATCGGTGCGGAACCTGCGCAGACATCCCTTCGTCGCCTCTAAGGCTCGAAGCATGCTTTTCCAATCACGACCTCAGACTATAGAAGACCGGTTTTTGGTAACTCTCTCCACTGATCTGAAACCTGAATTTGTTTTTTTATTTTTTACTTTAATACTTTTTCTGTTGTTGAGAGAACCGGCGGTTTTCCGGCCTGCAGGGGTAATCGCGTTCTGCCATTCGGTGAAAGCAATGCCGTGTTTGGTGTTGCTACGCGCTGCGTGGGAATTGCAGTCTTCCTGTCCAGTTATCATTGCTTGTTGCTCGCGATATTTCTAGTCTCTGCCCTTCCTTTCTGAACATCAGCCCAACCTTTTTTTTTTTCTTCTTCAAAATAGCTGTTGCGGTTTTTTTGGCTGTCAAGAAAGTAAGGGTGGCAATGTCCTTTGATTTCAAAAAATTGGTGCCTAATTGTTTTGTTTGCGTATTTCTCGAGTGAAATTTTAATGAAAAGAAGCAACCAAATATGTTGATCACTCCAATAAGCAGACGTAGTAAATAAATTTGTGATCGGTTTTTGAATTAGCATTATTGAGGAAGTGATGCAAATCTTTTAACAAGCGTTGGAGTTATCGTTGCTTTGAAATTGGAAAGATATATTTTTGGGATATTAAAAAGAACTAGTAAAATATTTCGAGTTCTCTACGTCCAGACAGATGTCAAAATTAGATATATGACAGTTTTAAAAATTAGTTTCTCTCTTTTGGAATTTGATGAAAGATTTGTAACTTTTTTCCTGGAAGTTGCGATTATTATTCTAAATTAGTAGATTGTAATCCACTGCCCGGCTCGGTAATCGTGGCCTTCATGTCCAGTTATCATTGTTAGATGCCCGTTATGTTTCTAGGCTTTGATCTTCACTCCCAAATATGTGATAAAGCTTTTTTTCCCTATTTTTTTTTCTTTTTTAAATAGCAGTTGTTTTCGACAGAAAAGAGGCGGTATTGTCCTGTTATTTTTTAAAAAAAATGTGTACCTTGCTAACCGCTGCTACCACTGACTTGAAATGTTAAACTTTGTTTTTCATTTGTTTTCTAGAGTGACCCTTAAAATATTCAATATTTTTAGATTTTAATGAAAAGAAGCAACCGAAGATCCCAACAAGCAAACGTATTATGCAAATTTGTGATTGATTTTTATTTCTTGATAGTTAAACATTCGAAGTTACACTTATCTGTTTAACATAAATAAGGAAGTGCAAAAATAAGTACGTTCATTAGTCGAATGATTAATAACTCTGATTTAATTTAGTTGTCAGAGGTTAAATTGGTTAAGTAACGCAAATTTTGCAACTACTCTGGATAAGTTATCTTATAGGTGTTATGTTACTTTAGTGATTTAAAATTGGTAAGATAATATATTTTAGGATTGTTTAAAAGAAATGTAGACAAATATATTGATGACTCCACGTCTATCCAGATATCAATAATAAATATCTGATAGGTTTTTAATTAATTATTTTTCCCCTTATCGCTTTTTTTGATGAATGATTTGTGTTGCTTTTTTTCTGAAACTGTTTAACGTTTTTAAGGAATTTGCTGATTATATGAAAATTATCAGAGAAAGATCTGGCTGTGACCCACTTCTATCACAAATTTTTTATTTTTTTTTCATCGTCGGGAAGAGTACGCAGTCTGAGTCTACTTATTGCATCACATCAAAAAATTCTGACGTTTTCGAAAATTAATTGTGCCCTACATTTATTAGAAGCGATGTAGAAATTAAAGCTTAAAGCCATGGTTTATGCACATTTTTTTTATCAGTTACGAACACTTACTGATGTCATCAAAATTCT